CCTCTCTTCAGAATATGCACCTTTATCCCAAATGTTTGCTATCAGGAGTTCACAGGCCCTTCCAAGACAGTGATTTCTCATGTGATGCAGATGTTCCAAACATATCTAATGACCAGATTCATAGCAACAAACATTTGCCAAAGGAAATTTGGCATAATTTAGAATCATCCAGAATAAATTAGCATTTTTTAATCACAGAGGAACTCCTTCAAAAATGTTCTCCATGATGCCCTGTGTGGTTGCAAGTATGCATGGATGTCCATAGACACGAGCGTTCTCGGGATCCGTGGTGAAGATGGCATTGCTCCGTTTACAACGACCATTCGTGAGCGGTTCTGTAACCCATGCTTTTCTCCTGATCTCTTTCCATTTCTCCACTGCTTTCTCTAAAAATAGTGATTACTGTGAGGCAGGCTCACTGCCTCATGGATGGGAAGGAAGGAAGGTGGGTTGGTCAGTGCTATATTCATCAGTTTTCCTTCCTACTTTCAAGTGCCGAACTTCCAACTCCCTTGACTCTTTATCAGCAGACGTCCTGTCTTGTCATGACAGATGGCTGCCACCACCTTCCACACATGCCCTGGAGTTCCCAGAGGAGACCAGGCACGCTAACTCCAGCACGGCCACCACCCATTCTTTGGAGCATTCCTACTTCCTGATTTGCCAGCGTGCCTTCATTTTTCTCGCTGGCTTCCTCTGTGCAGTCTGAGTGTCAACCTTCTTTTCAGGTCCAGCCGTGATTTCTAGTCATTTGAACCTCTTAAGCCACGTTCCTTCACGTCGGTGTGACCTATTGATGCTGGGCAGAGGTTTCCACCTAGTGGAACTGCAGGTGTCAGCTGGGCCACTGTTGTCACCTGGGACTCACGTGTCTCAGCTCATGGCTGTTCCCAGAGCCCATGTCCCATGCCTCCTTTCCTGTGGCTGCTCCCATCTCCAAGGCAGCTGTGCTGGCAGGATCCCCTCCTGCTTCCCGTCTCTCTGTTCACATCTGCCACGTCTCTGACTCCCATGGGAGACCATGCTTTGCTTTGAAAGGACTATGTGATTATATTGGGCTCAGCTGGCAAACACGGATCCTCTATTATAGGGTCTGTGACTTTTCTAGCCCATGCAAAGTCCCCAGGCCATGTAACCAGGTACTCACCCATTCCAGGGATTAGGGTATGCACACCTGGAGGGTGGGCATTCTGTGTACCATAGTGACCTCCAGGTAGAGTGTCACAAGGGACCAGGTTTGATTAGAACCACATGGAAGAACATTCAATTAGAACTGTTAGAGGAAGGACCATGGATGTAAAGAAAAATAATAATAAGGAGACAGAGACAAGGTGCAGAGGCAAGGAAGGTGGCAGAGTGGCCTTTGTCCAAGGGGCCACGTTTATTTATAACAATAGGTCCCATTAGGTCATCAGTACCATAACCACATTATTGTTTAGAGTATCAGTAAGGTTGCTTATTTTGCAGTTACATTTCATAGTTACAATATGCAATGTTAGGAGCTTTGTTTAGTTCTCAAGAAGGCCCATTGTCTGAAGTTACTGTTAGGCGGGCAGCTCCAGGAGCACCGGAGCTTGGTGAAACATTGTAGTTATCTAGCAAGCAAGTTCCTGTGTTCCCAGGACTTATGTGCCTAAGATCAAGGTCGAAGCTGATGAGACTATCATGGAGGGCATTGCCATAGCAACTGGGCATCCTAGGCCTTTGCACAGAAACTTTCTTAGGCACTGAGCATGCCACAGCCCTGAAGTCATCAGGGACCCCAATCCCAAACGAAGAAACCCTACACCTGTTAGCTGGCCTGGAAGTATGGGTGAAAGTCTGTTTGCTGAAAATGAAGGCAGGAGTTAGTAGTCAGGTTTTCCTCACTGGGAACACAATACCCAACCAGAGCAGCGCAGAGGAGGAAGAGTTCTAGGGCTCATGGTTTCAGAGCATCAGGCCATGGGCAGCCACCTGCAGCCCACTGGGCCCGAGGAGAGGCAGCACATCCTGGCAGAGGATGTGGCGGGGGCAGCTGCTCAGTGCATGGCCTCCATGAGCCCGGCCCACAGGGACAGTGGAATCCCCAGGTGCTCCCCCAGCACCCCTCCCCAGCCATGCCCCCACCCACATCAGCACAGTCAGCACTTCCAGTCCATCAGTGCACCAAGAGGGTACAGGCACTGACTGGTCCAGCCTTGTCACCTCTGGACATAGTCGCCGCTGGGCACGCCTCACACTTGATCCCAACAGCAGCTCTTTCAGAAGAAGGCAAAGGTGGGAAATGTGGGAGTCTGGAGGAAGAAGCCCCCGCCAACCTGGGGGCCAGGGAAGGAGCAGTGAGGGTGCAGGGGGAGGGGACATTCTGTGACAGGGCAACAGCAATGCTTCCTCCACATAGAACACGCACATTAAATAAAGACACCAAAATTAAAAGCTAAGTACAAACACTGCTACGGGCAGCTATGGGCAGATCCTGAGAGTTCAGTGTGGCGATGGCTGGATGGTATGTCAGCAGGACATGCAAAAATGCCACTTGAGAGCTGTGGATTTTGAGAAAGGTCTGAGAACTGACAGAGGCAAACACAGAAACAGCGCCTCTTCATCACCCCTGAAGAGGGCATCACACCCAGGCTATGACACCTCCACCATGCTGGTCACTGTGCATGCTTCCATGACTCACAAACGCAAGGGACTTGAAGGTGATCCCTCTCCCCTCCACTCAAGAAAAGGGTCAAGCATACTGTGTCTTGAACTCTAAGAGATGAAACACTACAAAAGACGTAATAGAAAAACACCCCGTTCCCAGTTCAACTTGTTAACTTACCAAGAAATTAGAGCTACCCGAAAAGACTATAAGTCACCATCAAAGGACAGAAAAACTACTCAAAGAATGGGAAGAAGACTCAGCATCACAGCAATCAATCCATGTTAACTGGAAACTCAATGTTTTGATACCAATAAATAATAGCTTCTTTTTTTTTTTCTACTGGGCAAACTCAATATAAATTTCAAATGGAAAAATGAATAAGAATATCTAGGGGCTGGGGATGTAGCTCAATTGGAAGAGTGCTTGCCTCACATGCACAAGGCCCTGGGTTCGATCCCCAGCACCACCACTTTAAAAAAAAAAAAAAAATTCCAAAATGTAAAAACTCTAAAGTAGAAAAGGAAGGAAGACGAACTCTGCTGGGTAGTAAGTTACACCCCAATATTTAGTAGTTTCAACATTGAGGTGGGAATCCAAGACTCCATATAACAGCACAGGAGTAGGCCAGAGGGTAGAACTGGGCCTCCACCCACGCCTCTGTGGCTGGGAAGCCCATCAGTCAGCGAGCGGTGCAGAGTGAGGGGGAGCCCAGGAGAGCCGCTGACCTACAGCCCAAGCACCCAATGTGGGGAAACAGAAGGGTAAAGGCAAAAACACTTCAAGAACCACTGAGAGGGGCTGGGGATGTGGCTCAACCGGCAGCGCGCTCGCCTGGCATGCGTGCGGCCCGGGTTCGATCCTCAGCACCACATACAAACCAAGATGTTGTGTCCGCCGAAAACTTAAAAATAAATATTAAAATTCATTCTCTCTCTCTCTCTCTCTCTAAAAAAAAAAAAAAAGAACCACTGAGGAAATCCCTTTAGGATCTTGGAAAAGCGGAAGGTCTAAGAGAAAAGCAACATTTGATAACAGTAGAATTTTCTTCTGAGGAAAAAGCCAGTCAAAATATGTCATAATGCCATAAATACATTCATGGCAAAGTGTGAAACAGCAAAAATGGGAGTGATTTGTCATTCTTAGAGACCAATTAGTGTATCATTTGGCTGTATAGGAATAGTATTTTGCTGTAGAAAAAAATAAGGAAGTTATTTATGTACTGGTTCATAAAAAAATTCAAGATATACTGTGAAGCGAAAAGAACAAAGTGAAAAACACTGTTTTAATATGCTGATCTGTATATAAAAAGAAGGAAATTGAGAGTATTTGGACAACAAGCCCTGCCCTGCCCTAGTGACAATGAAGCCAGATTTAAAGTTAGGTAGTCAGTGTAGTTAGGTAAATCGGGTCTAATACCGAGTGAAATCTAAAATGGAGGCCATGCTGGCAATGATTCCGGGAAACGCAGGACAACTCAAGGAATGTTAATGAAGTCCGAAAAGGCCCTAGGCCAAAGTCCACCTCAAAGAAATGTTAATGAACAGCCCCCAGCAAAAAGGTGCTGACTCAGAAGTCCTTCCTGACCAGATTACTTCTTTGGCCCACCTGTGTCCCACCCCTCGGGCCTTCCCACCTACATTCCATCACTGAAAGAACTATAAAAAGGGGAGACAACATCCCTTCCACGGATTCCACCTCTTGGGTCCCCTTCTTCCTCCGGGAGAAGTCTTTTCTGCTGTCCTTTAATAAACTTCTAATTTCTACTCTGACCTTGCCTCGGCGTGCTTCTTTGGTGTTATTCTTCAACATTGGGGAAGCAAGAACTCGTCACCAGTCAACAGCGGTAACAACTCCATGGTGTGTAGAGCAGCAGTCCTCAGGCTGTGCCTGCCCTAGTGACTCCATGGTGTGTAGAGCAGCAGTCCTCGGGCTGTTAGAATGAAGAGTGGAATATAAAAGAACTTGTGTTTGCCTGGCCTATGACTATCAGATGCCCAGGAATATTCAGAGAACGGCCACCATGGAAGTGGTGTAGCCTGTGGATTTATTGTTTTTAAATAAATCCTGGCCTTGTGGGAAGACACAACACCTTGGCTGCATGGTGACAACAAAGCTGTGTGCAGTGTGTTTGCACCTTGCCTGGATCAGGAGATTGTGGAGGTACTTAAGAAAGAAGAGCACAGCCCATCCAGAGGTCGGGACAGTGAGCAGAAGTATCACAGGTGGGATTTTCTCTGAATCCTTTTTATATTGTTTCATTTTGCATTAGTGACTCAAAAGCATAAATTCAATCAGGTCTAGTAATATCTCACCTCTTCTCGGAAACCCGACTTGTCCTGTTAGTTGTTGTTTTGTTATTTGCCATAGGTAATGTGCACATGAGATTTTTACAACAGCTATTATTTAAAAGGAATTCACCCAAACTGTGCCCCACATGGTGCCAACATAAGAAATACTTAAGCTATACTGTGGCAAGGCATTTGGTTATATTTCTGCTTTATTGTTTGACAGAGAATTTGGTTTTAAGAAAATCTCACTACATACAGGGCTGATTTAGTCTTGTCTGCAAGAAAGCTGTCATCCAGAGCTCAGAGCTGTGACTTTCACATAGAGGCCCCCAGGGTTCTGGAGGGAGCAGGGCACCTGTGGAGCTGGCCTGGTGAGTGGCACACCTTCCCCTCACCCTGGTGTGGATGACAGGCACTGGAATAGGCTCCTTGGGCAGGTGCAGATTTCAAAATGAGATTAGATCTCAGGTCTTCAGAGACTAAAAAACAAGAAAAGCAAACAAACTTGGAGATGGTTCTGGAAGTGCATTTAATGCTGATTCAAGCAACTTAAAAGCCGGTCATTTTTATCTTTGTCAGGGGCTACAAGGAAATTCTCCTTCAAAGAATAGCCTGACATTTACAAGAAACAGCCCCCTGGGAGACATCCTGCCTGGGAGACATCCTGCAGCTACCTATCTCCCTGGAATATCCTGCGGTAATCAGGATCATCAGACATCTTGTAGCTGGCAGTTTTACCACCCACATCCAGCAATTGCTGATTAGAGAGCTTCCCCATCCCCAGCATATAAATACCCCTGTGTGAACAATAAAAGTTTGCAGCTTGATCAGAACTCCTGTCTTGCTGTCATCCCTCGTGTCTGTGTCTCTTGTCCCTTCATTCCTCCCCACCTAGGTTCGCGGCCCTCATTGGGTCAGGACATTTGGCGTCCAAGTGTACTCGAGCCTTTGACTGAGAAGGACAATCTTCACTATTAACATTATAATTTTCGAAAATCCCATTAGTGAAACTCATTTTTCAAACCTTGAACTCTACAGAATCTAGATACGGATGGCAAAGTTACAATTTTATTTGTGTTAACCTGTTTTATAAGTTCATACCTATGACAGTTTGTACGTATTCTTAAAATCAGAGGGAATGGACTGTCTTGACACTTTGGTGGACTGTGAACCAGAGTAGTTATCCTCTCAGAGGTCATGAAGTCGTGGTCTTTGTCAGCCGCACACTCTGGTAATCTGTATTCTGTGCTGTTGCACAACAGGGATAAGATCTTCATTCACTAAATAGAGTAAAGAGCAGCTTTCTAAGCCTCCCATGTTCATCCTCTGAGTGCTGGACAGTTAGACTTCCCCTGAACACCAAGGAGAAGTACATTGCTTTCCCATAATTTTCATTGATTTTTCTAACTATTGGTCACACTATTTCAAAGAAGTCAATAAAGATATCAATTGGAGTATGGGTAAAATACTTAAAATTTTTATCTTATGACATAACGTGATGCTTAATTTCATTAAAAAATTGTACATGTTAGCCAGTCATGATGGTGCATGCCTATAATCCCAGCACTTGGGAGGCTGAGGAAGGAGAATTGCAAGTTCAAAGTCAGCCTCAGCAACTTAGTGAGAAACTGGTCTCAAAATAAAAATACAAAAATAAAAGGACTAAGGATATGGCTCAATGGTTAAGTGCCCCTAGGTTCAATCTCTGCTACAAAAAAAAAAAAAAAAAAAACTTCAATGCTTCTCTCTATCAAATAGAGGGTTATTTACAGTTTCAAAACAGCAAAATGAATTTTGTTTGGTCTGTTAAGTCCAAAAATTGGTTTCATTATGAAAGATAGTTCTATTGCAAAATAAATAGCCTGGTAAACCTTATTTATTAGTAAGAATTATTGTAACATACCACAATTGATCTAAAATGTACAGTGTATGACAGCCACAGTCCTGAGTAACTGATAAAAATCATGTATGCAAAGCTACATTCACTGTTAGAGAATAACTTCACATGTATAAGAGGCTCCACCATATACAAAGAGACGCCAAAGAAAACATTATTTTGAAATTTGTACCTAAGTGATACCATCTGACAGCATAAGAAGAGGTGTCAGTGCTCACATGTATAATGTGACATTCACCACTTTTGAACAGTGGGTTTGTATGTGTTGCAGTGTAGTCGCATCTGAAAACATGTGAAGTAGTAATTGCATTGAATGATTGCAGGGATGCCAAGGCAGTGTTGTGAAGCACCTCCTAAATGTCTCAACAGTGGAGTCAGAGTTCAGGGACTGAGGGCTGGAACGCGTCGGCAGGAGCCCAACACTCCAAGCTTTCGCGTTGCTGTGTGAACCCCTAAGCCTGTGGATCACCCCTAGTCCAAGACTTCATCTGATTTTATCAAAGCAGTCCTTGGAGCTGATAAAGGCAGGTTTCATACACTCTTGGCCCATCAGTATGCGCCCCAGGCTTGCCTATGTCCTCCTGGAGTTCACACCTTCAGAAAGCTCTGCTGGGACTGTCCACACTGCACTGTCACCAAGGCCGATGGCTCTCCTCCAGTGGGCAGTTGACCTTGCGCACGGGAGCCATAGGGAAGACTTGACAGGACCATCAGTAAGTGTCTCTGGCTTGGCTTTCAGTCGATTCTAGTTTCTGTCTGTATTAAAGGCATTTTATTTCAAGTGTCATGAACTGTGATCAACTCTTACCAGTGTGCCTGTAGGCAACAGTCACCCATACATCCTTTTCCTCACTAATGTGACTCAAAGAGGCAAGACCCAGGTCCGTCATGGCTGATTGTGAACTCCACCGTGTCGATTTCATGAAATAAAGCTCATTTAAAGACAGGTCATCCTCAGATCTGCTCGTTCTCCTCTCAGTTACTTGGCTTTAGAAAGAAATAAACTCTAGTTAGCAGCTCTTTGTAGAGGCGCTTGTGCTTACTGGTGGCTGAGGCCAATCTCCGTCGGGACCTTGGCTCACGTTGTCTCACCGTGTCACTCTGCAGCCATCTGTGAAAGTTGGTGCCACAGATCCAGCCTCCCCACGCCCTGAGAGCCCCATCTGCCGTCCCTTTCTCCTGCTCTGTTGCCATCTTGCTCTAGGAAGCATCAGGGACATAAACTTTCTAAATTTTCACTTTATTGTGGTAACAACATTTAGCGGGACTTGGATCCACGATGACCCAGGATCAAGGCTGCCTACTCTTTGCTTCTGAGTTCTGATGGGGGGTGAGCTCCACAGGGATGGGCACCACCGGTTACTTTGGGAAGAAAACAGAAGCTCAGCAGGGAGGTCCCTAGGCCAGCAGGTGTGAACGACGGACAGCCCAGGCCACGGCACAGTGCCACCCGTTGGGCCTCTGGCTCAGATGTACTGCAGCTGGCAGAGCACTTACTATACTAGTGAGCCAATCCTCACACCCAGATTCCCAGGACTGTAGAAACCCTGTTTTTCATGAAACAAACTAGAAAGGCTGTACTATCCAGCTACCTTCACTAGTGCTGCTCTCCTAAGGGATCACAAGAGCATCCAGTACCCATGCGGAACAGAGATAAGCCAGGGTTTCGTCCTAGATTTGGGGTGTGCTCACACAAAGACACTTGAAGGTGACCTTCGTTCTGGGAATTTGTATGGCTTACAGAACAATAAACTTGCCTCACATCTGACCCTAGAGACCACAGTGTGTCTGTTTCCTGTGTTCACTGGCCTGGCCTTCAACTTCCAAGACAGATTCCCTCGGGTGAAAAGCAGCAGCCCTGAAGGAACTCGGTTGCTCCTTCCATTTCCCCTCTTATCTACCATATGGGAGCAACAAAGTGCTTTGACCATGTCTTTGGCTGTTTTCCAACTGGACTGTTGGCTTGCTTCCACTGAAGAGTGATGTGAGCTCCTTAGGTCCTCGAGATGTTAGGACCCTGGCCTGGAATTTGCTTTCTCATGTTCTTGGCAGGGTATTTCACAGAACAACAATTTTACCTTTAATTGTGATCGATTGTATTAAATTAAACTGTGTTGGGCCAAGGACGCCTCTGCGGAGTCCCTATGGAGGAACCACAGCCTAACTTTTTCTGTCAACAGCAGGAGGCCTGGTTGCATGGACACTCACGCAGCAGAGAGCAGAAGGTCAGCAATCACAGTGCTGTCGGGCGAGACTCGGGCAGGGCGGGACCCCTAACACCAGTTAGGAGCCTTCCCTCGTTGCCTCCCTGGCCCACCCATGAGAGGTCTGGAGGGCTAGGGGCCTCTCACCGGTCCTTCTTTCCATTTAACTTGAACTGTCTGAGGTCTTCCTTCTATCAGGACCTTCCAAACAGCAAACGGTTTCCATTTTGAAGAAGTGCAGCTCACACCTTTCCCCTTTGAACTGCACTCCGTGTCGGCCCAATGGGGCTTTGCCTCACTCTGGAGCCCCAAGATCCCCTTGCACCCCTTGGTCTTGGTAGTTGTGCATTGGGGCTGTGGCCGTGGCCCTCTTGACAGGCCCTGGTTTGGGCCTCAGCTCTCACCTTGGTCCACAGCTCAGAGGACGTACTTGTGAGGTGTTCTCTTGCTTCCTGTGTTTCAGGAGTATTTCTCTTTGCTTAGAAGCAGTTCTCTGCAGCCTTCTCCAAAATCCTCATCTGGCAAGTGGGCTGTCCTGGTGCTGGCCGGCGACTTCCTCTCTTGTTGGAGTGGGGAGCCGCTGGGCACTTTGTGTGACTGGCAACTATCCACTGAAGCCCTTGTGTGGCTCAGGTCTAGGTCTTTCTCTGACTTCCAGAGTACATGTCTGCTCCTCACCAGTGTCCAAGGCTACAGATGTGCTGGACAGGAGTGATGGGGAAGGCCACCCCACGTTCCCACAGCTGGTCTCCACAAACTGCTGCTAGTCCATCACTGAGCACAATCGCACACAATGCTTTTGTTTAAAATCCCTCCTTTTTTATTTGTTCACGTCTCCATGGGTATACTTTGCTGTGTGCCAGTAGTTACTGCAGGTGACATTAATGAGCTAGAACTCACAATTTTGATATTTAACTTCAAAACCATAGAATGTATATCTGGATTGAAAGAGTTTTACATATTAACTAGATTTTAATTATAAAATTTCTAGTTTCTTCCCTAGATAGTCTTAAAGAGTTTAAAAAGTCAATTGACCCAGTCGAAGTAACTATTTCTACCCTTTGCATGAATCTTACCCATATCCTTTTGCATCCCTTAACAGATCATCATATCTGGGGTACAGCTTGCACACTGCCCACCTCCAGTGCAGGAGGGACCAGTCACACGTTTTTCTGTTTTAGATGGGACACAGGAAAGGGTGCCCTGTCCCAGCTGAGGCACAGTGATGGAGGGGTCTGGGCCTGCCCTCAGGTGCCCCAACGTAGCTAAGAACAGTGATGGAGGGGTCTGGGCCTGCCCTCGGGTGCCCTAACTCAGCTGAAGCACTGTTGTACAGGGAAGTCCTCCATCCTCTCTGAACTCCTGGACTTGCTTCCTG